TTTTGCCTGTGAATTTACTAAAAACACAGAAAATTAAAAAAGTAGGAAAAGTAGGAGAAAATCCAGAAAGGAGGACATAGTAGGACGGTTTTATAGAAAAGTAGGAAAAGTAGGACGTTTACGAAGCCTGAACCATATATAAATGAATATAAATATTATTCACATATCATATCTGAATAATATTTTCCTTATTTAAGTAATTGCCTGTTCGATAAAACATTCTACTTTTTTTATTGAGATCTAATTTCGCAAAACAATGTTTTGTTTCATTACATTATATAAAATTCAATGATTTCATTTATTTTTCATTTAGATTAAAGTATGGATCATTTGACCAATGAGCAGAAAAAGCAATTTGTAAGAAAAGAATTTTCTAAAATATCGAAAGGTAATTTAACAATCAATCATGATGAAGCAGGTACATAATTATACTCATAATAATCAAACAACTTTAATGCTATTTTTCTTCTAGTGTTGTTGTTAGAAAGATTAGACATTGATTCAAATGATAATGAATTATCCGGTTTATTACATGATGCCGATATGAATTGTAAATAGTCTCTTCACTTATTTATTCCGAAGAATAACTAAACTATTGATTTCACTTTAGGGGACAACAGTATCGATCTTGATGGAATTATATTTATCGTTGATCATTTGTCCAACAGGAGAAATGAAAATAGTCGTGTTATTTACGATGAACCAGTAAATATAAATGGATTTACTTTGTTTTTTTTCTTCTGATCCTGACTGACTTGATTCAATTTGATACAAATTGATGACAGAATAGATATATCATTCTTGACTCAACTGAAGCGATAGACAGGTCAATGCGAGATTATTCTCTATCTATTATGCCTATTTTTTCGAGATAATAAAGGTCAGTTCAAAAGAAAAAGAAAAATAGACAAGAATGAATGAATGCATAAATTCATATATATCATATATATATATATATATATCATTCGTGTTGGTGTTCGATAAATTTGGGTCACTTTACGATATTGAGAAAGATGGCAGAACAAGTAAGCGAAAGAAATTAGAGGAACAAGTCCATGAATATAGGACAAGTTTCTGTTGTCTGATCCTGCGTTCTGTGCTATCCTGTCTGTCTTGCCGCATAATGTAGGACAGAACAAGCAAACATCTTATTTTCTTTTTCTATTAGCAAACCAGACATCAAATTGTTAGTTATCTTTCAGCATATCTATTTCACTTTGGTTTCAAATAGCATGAATATCGTCTTCAATATACATTCTAAGAATTCTTGCTACTTGTGGAAAGTAGCTAAAATCAAGTGAGTCGATTGAGCTATGCCAGATAGGAACTAAAATTTATCTTGTTTTTGGGTCTTGTACTTCCTAGCGCTGTTGAATTATAGGACAAATAATTTCAGTGCCATTTTCACACTATTTCATTATTTTTAGGATGAAGTTCAATTGTTTAACAAAGTTAAACAACTTTTAAAAAAGGTTAAAGAATTAAATGATCAAGGTATTGTTGTTAGTGATGAAATGTTCAAGCAGCTTCAACAACAATGTGGTGTACCTGATCATGTGTTGAATTAAGAAAGCTCGATGTTTTTTTGTATTTTTCAAAATATATCTGATCAATATATGTAGTCTTATTCTCTAACAAGATACGTCTATCAGCTATATTAGGATACGTTTTTATCCTCGTTTTATTCATTTTGGATGGACAGATTTAATACCATTTCTCCATGCCAAACATATGACGCTTTTTACTATATAAATAGAAAAGAATGGTACCTTAAT